TCTAATAGTACACTAGGTTGTGGTCGTAGGTTGTAGTTCGCAGGCTGTAGTAGATCAGTTCTTCAGAGGCTAAGGTGATCAGTCTTAGACTTAATAATGATTTGCAGTGAAGGTAAGCTGAGAGTATCTGTGAGGATGAATACTAAGTTGATTGCTGAAGAGCTATAGAAGTCTGACCATAAGCTAGGCTCAGGGTCATACTATATATAAGTCTAGGGTAGTTTCTTTAAACTGAGGACTAATATCTTCCGAGCGGTCCCTAGGTGTGGACCGCTTTCTTTATGTCGGTCCTAGGTCAGGACCGCTTATCTCTCGTCGGTCCTTCTTATCGTCACGTGACCTGTACCATAGTTTTTCCGTTCCAAGTGAGTCCCTGTTGTTCCCATGATCCTCCAGTATAAATGTCTTATCCTAGCCGCCCGATGCCCAAGTGGGTCGGTCAACTGTTATCCATACATAACGGGTCGTAACATATGGATGAGACTGGTATTCTAGAAGGCAGAGGATCAAATAGGCTTGTTCTTGGATCATCAGAAACTCGTTCTATCCGCAAGAAACAGCCTGGATCGCATGCTTGGACATCTCTGATCGAGTGTATCTCTGCAACTAGCAAGGCACTGCCTCCACTTGTTATATATAAGGCAAGAATGTCCAGCAGCAGTGGTTTCCTCTAGATCTGACGCCATACGAATCCTGGAAGTTCACAGCTACAGAAAACAGGTGGACTTCAGACTCTACAGCTGTTAAGTGGTTAACAGAGGTCTTCATCCCTTCAACCCAGCCAGGGGACCCCTCAGAGGTCAGATTATTGATCTTGGATGGTCATAGAAGCCATGAGACTACTGCTTTTATGTATACATGCTTCAGGAACAAGATACACTTGCTGTTCTTGCCAGCACACACGTCACACGTCCTTCAGCCACTTGATCAGTCGGTTTTTGGGCCCCTCAAGGCAGCATACAAGAAGGAGCTTGGATTACTGGCTGAATGGGATGCTGGTACAGTTATGGGCAAGAGAAACTTCGTTATATGCTATGGCAAGGCGCGTAAGGCAGCCCTGACAAGCAAGAACATCATCAGTGGCTGGAAATAGACTGGTTTGTGGCCTGTCAGTATGGCTAGACCCCTCATGAGCCCTCTGCTGCTTGAGAACACATCAACCCCTGCCAAACCAGCTGGTCAGGTCTGCAAAGGGCTCTCTGATGGCAAAGCAAGCGAAAAATGGGCGGCAGATACATCAGCAGTCCTTTGGTCAACCCCCAAGAAGAGGGATGAGCTTCAGGATCAGTTCAGCCTGTTCAGCAAGCTAGATAACGATGAGCATACGCAGCGCCTGCTTTTCCGGAAGGTTCAGAAGGGCTTTGATGAGAAGGCATACCAATTAGCAGTAGCCCAGCGAAAGATTGAGGCACTGCAGGCAGAGGTTGATGCCAGTAGGGCCAGGAAACGGAAGAAGGTCAAAATGAGCCCAAATTCGAAGTTTGCCGATATTGAGGCTATTCGGAGGGCTCAAATCGAGGCGGGCGAACTTGAAAGTAGCACAGATGAATCCAGCGAGTCAGAAAACCCTAGTGATAGCGAAAGTTGCATCGTCGTCGCATCATAATACATATAAATATTGGTTGAAGTTGATGTGTATAAAGGTGAGGGCATCAAAAATGGGGTGCCCAAATGTGGGGGGTGCCCAGAAGTGGGTGTGGGACGTTAGGGCGTCCGCCTAAGTGCCCCTATATATGTGGGTAGTGATCACTGCTGACTTCCTGCTTATGCGATGCTTCAACTGCTTCTATTCTGTGATATCACTAGACTTTGCCTCTAACGCCCGACTTTGCGTTAGAGTTACTCTTTTCCCAAGCTCTCTCCAGCCTCAGAACTTCTCAACTTATCTGTAGCACTATTATTGCTGCTCTCCTCTAGCTTCTTAGCTTTCTTAACCTTCTTAACCTTCTTTAGTCCTGAACGCTTTAGCTTAAGGCACTATATAGCGATATGGCCTATCTTATTACAGTTGTAATATTAGCGACTGTCCTTATATGGTTGCTCACTACCCTCAGACTTAGATGAGGAGGAGTAGCGTCTGTGGCGCTGCGGTTCTATGGCTCTCTTCTTGTTCCTTGCGCAGCTTACGCCCGTCATAACCATATCACTATCGTCGTCGCAGTGCCTGCTTGCTTTGGGGGCTCTGGGGCGGTATGAGCTGTTCCTATGCGTTATAGCTGGAAGTCTCTCTAGCCTTGCAGCTACGTCTTATATACGCATAAGCTATCTATGGTAGTCATCAATAGGGAGGTTGACAGTAATGAGAGCTTGCTGGAGCTGCATACTAAGTACTCCCTCGAGGAGGGTTATCTTCGCCTGGTCTGCCTAACTTGCTCCTCCAGCTTCTGACAGTATTCTCTCGAATCGGGGGAGAAAAGAGGCGAGAGACTGATCGTCCTATTGCCAGATCGTTTGTAGCATAGCAGCTGCATAAGAGGTAGCACTTAGGTCCTTATATATATAGTCTAAGTACCTCATAAACTCAGAGGGGTCTTATTTACCCTCAGGGCCACCAGCAGCATAAAAGGTAGCAATAACTTGCTGAGGGTTAACATCAAGGCGTGAGTTGATATAATACCAGACCTCAGCCTTACCCCCTATACACTATATATCTAGGGTTATCTTATTACGTATTTGCTGAGACTATGCTAGGTAGTCTTTACGCTTTCCTGTGAACTTTAGGGGATTTAGTAGGGGCTTCTTTCGCCCTTCAGCTAGCTTCACTATACCGTCACTTAGAGCCTATATAGTCATATCAGCTGTAGATAGGGTCGGTATGCTACTTACGAGCGGCGTAGGGGTTGCTCTATCTGGTGATATAAGCCTATTTAGAGCTGTTAAGAGCTGCGTTATCTAGGTCGACTGCTGGACTATCTGGTCCTAAAGAGGACGTATGCTTATATTAACCGCTTGGTTAACCCTGCGGTTAATCTCTGCAGTTATCGCATCGTTTGCACTACCCTCTGGCGAATCTATCGTGTCGCACTTGTGAGGTTTTTATATAGCGTCTTCTTGTTGCGCTACCCTCTAGCGAATCGGTTGTATCGCTCTCGTGAGGTTTCGTAAGCGTCTTTTCGTTACGCTACCCTCAGCAAATCGTCGTGTCGCTCTCGTGAGGTTTCGTATAGCGTCTTCTCGTTACGCTACCCTCAGCGAATCGGTTGTATCGCTCTCGTGAGGTTTCGTATAGCGTCTTCTTTTGTTAAGCTTAGAATATGTAAGGGGCTGGCCCCTAGGCTTGTTCAACGTAGAGGTGCCGTCGATTGACTATTCTAAGCTGAAGAAGGAAGAAGGGACTTTACAGGGATAGGCGCCTAGCGGCGGTGAAGCACACTGGGGCTAGGCGGTGTGCCACGGCAGAATAGTGGACCCGGCGGAGCTGGGTCTCGGTAGCTGCTCCGGCAAAGCCGGAGATCTCGGCCGGGCTCTAGCCTGTGACAATATAAGATATTTTATATTTATAAAGATCTTTAATATTTAATATATAGAAAATTTAAGTTTTAGATATAATAAGAAGGATGTTTCTTAATAATTATAATAAGAGATAAATAGTTAATAAATGTAATTAATATTATTATATTCTTCGATATTTTATTTATATATATAGTTTCATCTATCTCTATTATAGTTATAAGCTAATTTAAAAACTATAATAAATAATTATATTTCAATTCTTTTAGTTATAGCGAAATCCTTTTTTACTTATCTAACTTGAACTATAGTTTTCTTATTAGCCTAAAAACTATATAGTAATAATAGCATAATATAAATAAAACTAATTTAAATAATAATATGAGGAATATAAAGGTAATAAATTTAATTCATACAGTTAAATAAAATAGGTTGTTGTATTTATATAGCCTTTTAATATATAAAATATTAGAATATAGAGTTAGCTATTCTAATAGAATAGCTTACTTTAATTTTATTCTAACTATATTAAGTTAATAATTATAACATAGCTATCATATAAATAAAGTAAAATAAATTCTACTTTATTAATAAGTCTAATTATAAAAGAATAAAGATATCCTTGAATATAGGAGTAGGATTTATTATGATAAGTAAGAAAAACTATTTATATTTATTATTATAATAAGCTAGAAAATAAGAAGCAGCATAGAAAAGACTAAATATATAGAGATTAATATCTCTTATATAATTAACATCTTATTATATACAAAATAGAATAAAGCTATTAGCTTTATATTATGAAGTTTAATTAATGTTAACTGTAAAAGCTAAACTAATCCTCTTACCTTCTATTAATAACTGTTACGACCCGTTATGCAAGGGTAACAGTTGACCGACCCACTTAGGTATCGGGCGGCTAGGACAAGACATTTGTACTGCAGGATCACGGGAACAACAGGACTCACTCGGTACGGAAGAACTATAGTATAAGTCATGTGATGATAAGATAAGAAGTTAGGTCCGTATGCCAAGAATACGGAGGCCGTACTTAGCATGAACGGAACCCGTCAAAACCAAGAACGGTAACAGGGACAGGAGTACTGTTCAGGACTTATATATAGTATGACCTGAGCCTGGCTCAAGGTCAGACTCCCATAGCTCTTCAGCAATCAACTTAGTATTCATCCTCAGGATACTCTCAGCTTACCTTCACTGCGAATTACTTGTTGAGTCTAAGACTGATCACCTTAGCCTCTGAAGACCGATCTACTACCAGCCTACGACCTACGACCCAGACCACAACCCTAGTGTACTGTTACTATGTGTTAATCCCCAGCTTCTGTTAGCAGACCCTACTGTCGGATAGCTGACCGTAACACTTTGATTGCTCCTGTTCAGTAAGTTGACCATTAACGCCTACTAACAGTAAAACGACAAGCATGTCCTCTCGCGCTTCTGCCAAGTCTCCTACCCCAGGATCTTCCTCTTCCTCGCGCAACCAGCCTCAGAGCCTGGCATAGGAACTCGCCAACGTTGAGGATTACGACATGCCGGACCTCAAGTACGACTCGGATGGAGAAGGTTCCTTCACCAAAGAAGGATACGAAAAGCTCCGACGCATCATCCAGAAACAGGAATCCGAGACCAAGGAGATGCAGGCTTTCGTTAATGAAAGCAAGCAAGTCGTGGAAAACCTCGACGCGCAGCTTCAGAACGCTGCTGCAGCCTTCAAAAAACTGGAAAAAGATATCAAGGGAGACGCTAATCTCAAGAAAGTTCAAGAACTCCAGGAAGAACTCAACACCCTCCAGGCTGCCGCCAACATTGTCACCACCCCTATTGGAGGACGACAGAAGCTCAAGCTCAGCGCCCTAATCACCTATAATAGTACCCCCGGACACCTCAAGTCTTACCTGATCCAGATCAGGACCTACCACAACTTCCACCATAACGATTTCGCCAATCAAACGGAAAAAGTCATCCACGCAGCCACTTATCTTCGTGGACGAGCCCTTAAGTGGTTTGAACCCATCCAGGAAGAATTCCTCAAGTGCGAAACCCTGGACGAATGCTCTACGGAAACGCGCGACATCTACAGCAGCTTTCAAGGATTCGAGGACGCCCTGCGATCCCTCTTCCAGGACCCGGACGAGAAACGCCAAACTGAACGCAACCTCGCACAGCTGCAACAGACTAAGTCGGCTAAGGAATATGCCGCCACCTTCAGACAACTTAGTGTTCAACTAGACCTCACCGAGGAAACCAAGATCTTCATGTTCTACTAAGGACTTAAGGACGACGTTAAGGACGAAATAGTTAAGCTAGACGAACCTGAAGATTTCCTCCAGTACGCCAGTATGGCCATCAAGATCGACAATCGACTCTTCGAACGAAGAAAAGAAAAAGGCGAAAGACGACAGGGAGCTAACTCTGGACGCAAATACCAATAGCAACCACAGCACAAATTCAACAATCAGAGGAACGACAACAGACCTCGCAACAACTGGAACAACACCCGCCAGAGTACTGCTTACGGATAACACAGCGGACCTATGGACCTCAGTATAATGACCAAACCTAACAACAAGAAACCCTGGAACCCCAAGTGCTACAACTGCAACAAACAAGGACATATCGCTAAGGACTGCAAGCAGCCTAAGAAGCTCCCCTGGAAGCTAGTAGCCGAGCGACCCCGACAGGTCAACATAATCGCAAAGGCACCACACGCATCCCAGTCCTAGACTGGATGTTACGACAATAACTGCCAAGTTCACCTCGAAGACAAAGAAATGTCAGGACACTACCTAAGGGACAGCAACCCCAGACGAACTGGATACAATATGACCACCCTGGGAACTCGCCTGAAAACCCTAGCAATGATGCACCACAGCAACAGCAAGATCACCCGAAAACCAGCTGAACAACTTAACGAGATGCTACGAGTCCAACGGTTTGAACCCGCCAGCACCTCATCCATCATACACAACTAAGAACTGGAAAAAGACAACAAGCAGAAGCTTGCACGTCTTCAAAAAGCCGAAGGCCTATACCTAGAACGAATCCAGCAGGAACCTCACAACCCGTTATAGGAAAGACAACTGGGAGCCATGCTCTCCCATATGGAACAAAGAAAGCACGCACGCAGAAACCCCGCCAGGATCGAACAGATCAACCAAGAACTTGAGGAACAAACCTAAGGAAGACCCCCCCAGGGACCGATCGGAGAAGAATTAGACGAAGAACCAGAACATCAACACAACCCCCTAACAGAACAACAACTGCTCACTATGACCAGCAGTTGGACCTTCAGAGAAGGTGAAAGTTCACCTTATGATTCAGACGAACCTCGCGACGTTGCTCGTCAACATGCTCAGATCACCTATAGATTCACCCCTAGTGTGGACGACTCTAGCTCTAAAGAGGACTCTGACGATCAAGAAAAGAGGATCGAGCACCTCTTAAGGTACTAAGAAATCGATATGTTTCAGGATAAGCAGCAGTAATACTTCTATAGGACCTCAGCAGACCAACAGGACTAAGACTACACCCCCCAGCTATATACGGAAGATCATCCTGCTCTACGAAGCAACTATTGATAACACTAAACCCTCTTCTGGCCCTAGTGCTTCCACGATAAGTGCAAGGAACATATAGGAGATAAGCACGACTACTGATTCTACCCCAGAAGACTTAACGACAAACCTATTAAGAGTGTCTACACTACGCATATCATGGTTAGATGGACCATGACAGCTTTCGACGGAAGGATCGCTACCTTTCAACCAAGCTCACAGTTCCCTATGAGATGCCAACACGACGACAGTATGAAATAGGACGAATGCCAGCGCGACGAATGCTAAGTCTACTACCAAGACAAAGCTCGCGCATAGAGAATCGCAAAGAACGGACCAAGACCCCCGCAAGTCAGAATCCGTGAGAACAGCCTCACTAAGGCAGTACGGGAAGGAAAACGAATCACCTACCCAGGACGATCAGAGCAGTCAAAAAACTAGACTCGCCTACCGACGACAGATCACAACAGGCAACAGGGAAAAGATCCATCTACCAGATGTCACAAGGACACAAGAAGAACCTAGAACTCGAAGTTACTATCAACAGACGAACAACGCTCGCGCTAATCGACAGCGGAGCCGAAGCAAACTTCATCGCCCCCCAAGCCGTCAATAGGCTAGAGATACGATAGGGAGGAAAAGAACGACCATACCCCTTACACACGGCAGAAGGAGAAGAATTCAAGTACAAAGGAGGTACCATCTACAATAAGACTGCGCCCCTCAAGATGAGTTACCTAGATCGGAAAGAAAGAATCCAGTTCGACATTGCCGACATAGGAACGTATAACATAGTGCTAGGATTACCCTAGCTACAAACGAACAACCCACGGATAGATTGGAGTAACAGCCAACTCCACTAGGACCACGACGACTCAGTCCCTGAGCAGCCCTGTCAAAATCAGGCCTCAAACGAGCCGATACAACAAGAAACAGCAAAACAGTACATCTGCTACCTCAAGGCGAAGGAAGCCACATCACAACCAGTGACAACGAAGGATCTAGAACGAAAGAATGATCCGCTTCTGTCTATCCCAGAAGAATACAGATTTTACGAGAAACTCTTCGCAGCCGAATTAGAGACCGGACTGCCCGAATACACCAGTTTCGACCACGAAATCCCTCTCAAAGAAGGAAAAGAACCACGATTCAACAAGATCTACAGCCTTAATCCAACAGAAATAGAAGCTCTAGACAAATACCTCGAAGAAAATCTTAAGAAGGGATACATCAGACCCTCGACATCACCAGCAGGAAGCCTAATCCTATTCGTACCAAAGAAAAACAGCAAACTACAACTATGCGTCGACTATTGCATGCTCAACGAAATAACGGTAAAAAATCGATACCCACTACCACTCATCGATGAAATGAAGAGACTCCTCCACAGAGCCAACTGGTTTACAGCCCTCGACCTCAAAGGGGCTTACAACCTGATCAGAATGAAACAAGGAGAAGAATAGAAGACCGCCTTCAGAACACGCAAAGGACATTTCGAATACCTCGTCATGCCCTTCGGTCTCACTAATACTCCCGCAACATTCCAAAACATGATCAACTCAGTCCTACACAAATACGTCGACATTTATGTAGTCGTCTACCTAGACGATATCCTCATATTCTCACTAACACTTGAGAAACACAAAGAAGACGTTCACCACGTCCTATAAGCCCTTCAGGAAGCCAAGCTTCTAGTCGAACCCGAGAAGAGCGAATTCCACACCCAGAAGGTGGAATACCTCGGATTCACTATCACCCCTAGAGAAGTTCGAATGTCAGAAAACAAGATCAAAGCCATCAAAGAATGGCCGGAACCCAAGAACCTTAAGGAAGTCCAAGGATTCCTAGGTTTCATCAACTTTTACCGAAAATTCATCAAGAGCTACGGCAAGATCAACGCAGCCCTCACCAACCTCAGCCGCAAAGACACCCCTTTCATATGGGAGGAACCCCAGCAAACAGCTTTTCAGAAAATCAAGGACCTCATCAGCAGTAAACCAGTCCTGATAATCCCAGATCCCACCAAGCAGTTCGAAGTAGAACCAGACTCCTCAGACTACGCCCTCAGAGCACAACTGTCATAACGAGATTCAGAAGGACGGCTACACCCTTATGCCTTCTTCTCCCGCAAGCTCCATGGACCCAAACTGAACTATCAAATTCACGACAAAGAACTCATAGCAATCATTAAGGCATTTAAAGAATAGAGACCAGAACTCTCAGGAACGATTTATGAAGTACTCGTATATTCAGACCATAAGAATCTTTCACATTTTACAACCTCGAAAGTATTAAACAAACAACAAGTCAGATGGTCAGAATTCTTATTGGAATTCAATTTCCGAATCATCCACCGAAAAGGATCAGACAACAGAAGAGCCGACGCTCTCAGCCGACAACCAGACTATAATATCCCAGTACCTGAAGAAACCCAGGTGATTCTCAAAGAAAACGACAACAGAGACCTAGTGCTAGCCGCCAAACTCTTAATGATGGCCGGACGATCTAGTACTAGCCTGCCTAGCAAACCAGACGACGAAGCAATTATGGAGTTTCACGCTCAACCCGCACACGGTCACCAAGGAATCACAAAAACCTGGAAACAACTACAACAGCAATATAGAGAAAAGGTTACCAGAGAACGTGTGGCAAAAGCAATTAAGGATTATGAGGTCTGCCTCAAAAGCAAACCCGCTCAACATCAACCTTATGGTATGCTACAACTTTTGCCGGTGCTGCAAACCGCCTAGCAATCTATATCCCTCGACTTCATCGTCAAACTACTGAAGTCTCGAGAACCCCTCACAGGAGTACACTATGACAGCGTTCTCATCATTATGGACCGACTCACGAAGTATGCCTACTTCATCCCATACAAGGAAGCAAGCAACGCCGAAGAATGTGCCTACATATTTCTTAAGTACATCATCGCCAACCACGGGACACCCTGAGAGATTATGTCAGACAGGGATAAGATCTTCACCTCCAACTTTTAGAAATCGATCATGTCACACCTCGGCATCAAACAATCAATATCTACTGCGTTCCACCTGCAGACCGATAGACAAACAGAACGAATCAACTAAATCCTCAAAACCTATCTCCGCGCCTACGTCAACTACAATCAAGACAATTAGGTTGCACTACTACTAATAGCCCAATTTGCCTACAACAGCGCAGTAGGAGAAAGCACCAAGGAATCCCCCTTCTACCTCAACTACAGATTTGAACCCACCGCCTACGGAGAACCCCAAGCAGGCCCAGCCGCAGTAAAAGCTGTCGCCTCAGTACGACAAATCAAAGATATCCAAGAAAACGCACGCAAAGAACTCAAATTCATACGACAACAAATAACCAAATTCAGCAACAAACGAAGGATTGAGGGACCAACCTTAAAAGAGGGAGATAGCGCCTACCTCATACAGCGAAACATCAAAACAAAACGACCAAACGACAAACTGGACTACAAAAAACTCAGACCTTTCAAAGTTTCACGAGTAATTTCACCAGTTAATTACAAACTCAAGCTCCCAGAAACCATGAAGTGTCACCCAGTATTCCACATCTCGCTACTTGAACCAGCACCATGAGGATCACAAACAAACAACCTCATCATTATGGAAGATAATAAACCAGAATATAAAGTCGAACGGATCATCAATCACCTCAAGGAACCAGAAGGATACCAGTACCTCATCAAGTGGAAAGGATAT